GGCTAAGCATCAAGATGCATATCTGCATCGGGTCGGCTCCCAGGAGACAACCAAGACAGGGCAGCTCTGGGTCACCAACCTAGCCTCACTGCTCATCCAGCAGTGGTGGAACCTGTGGGAGGATCGCAACGCTGCCAGGCATGGCAAAGACAGGGACGACCAGTGGAAGAAGAAGCACGAACAGCTTCAGCGGGAGGTGGAACTCATTTACGAGAAAGCGGATCTGATCCCAGTGGAGCTGGTGGACTTTATCTTCAAGCGACCGCTTGACGAGCAAATGGCAAAGGGCCCAGGCGACATCAAAGCGTGGCTTGCCAATTGGCTGCCCGTCGTCGACAAGGCACTCAGGGACGAGCATGCACGCACAGCGCAGAACAATGACACAGGGTAACTATGCACAAAGGGGGTCTTACCGTAGAAATAGATGGCAATCCAGTCAAGGGTAGCTCGTTAGCTGCAAAGCACCCTCCGGAGTTTTTAAACTTCTCCGGTGGGGGGCTTGCACTAGGCCGGTTCCTATGTGGGCGTCATTGTACGTCTGAGGTATTCCGGTTCAATATGGCTCCGTTCAGCGGGTGGTCTATTGAGGTGCAGCCTAAATAATAAAACTTCGTTATTTTTTTGTCTGGGATGAGCATACCATGAAAGCAGCTAGAGATCAGTTCTATGTTCCTGCTGAATTGAAGGTTGTGGTGATTTATCCAGAGTTGTATGAGAGAGATTTGCTTAGACTGGATGAATCCTACAAAACAGACAAAGGAGGTATTATGTCTCCATGTCCTTCTTGCAAAACAAACAAGGGCATGAAGATCATTGGTTGGAGCTCATCAAGAAAGAACTGTCAGCGGGTTCTCAACACAAAACTCTTTCATGATATTGTTATTGGAGCCAGATATGCCTGCACCTATACCAATCCAATGAGCAACCAGAAGTGCAACAAGACTTTCACATCCTACTATGGTGACTTGTGGCAGCAATTTCCAAAACCTGTAAAGAGGAGATATTTGGACTATGTCTCTCCATTATCATTCAATGACAGAACAACGCATCAAATGATGTCTCCTGGATTTTGTGATAAGCTGCTCTTTCACAAAGGCTCCTTTGAAGAGTTCTCTAGATCTCTAGCCAATTCTGTCTCAGTCCAAGCTCGTGAAGCCCTTACCATGTATCGAAACTTCATTGAAGAAGAAGCTGATTTGTTTCCTAGTGAAAAGCCAAATTCAATGACTGCCTCTGCCTATGCCAACAAGAAGACACAGAAATGGCCCAAGTTTGATGATGCATCTCTTTCATCATTCTTCAAAATGCCTGCACCCAACACGGTTATCAAGATGTGGGAAGCAGTCTATGCTAAAGCTGAACCCAATCTACTGAGAGATTTGTTGAGCAGGACTGGTGGTCGTTTTGTTAGAGTTGATGGGACCTATTTGATTATGAAAAAGACAATGAATCTGTCCGATGCTGAAGCAGCTAACAATGTTCTTGTAAAGGTCCTGGGTGAATATGGTCATGTTCTCATCTATGCCTTCACAGAAACAGAGAATCATGAGGTCAAGGAACGGCTTCTTTACTTTCTCAAGCAACGCTACCTCAGAATTGGTGGCCAAGCTGCAGTGGATGAAGTCATTGCGGGCTATGATGATTTGTGTTGCAATAACTCAGATCCATCCCTTCATTTCCTACCCAAGCTCTTTCCCAATTGTCAGAGGGCTTTTTTGAAAGATGTTTGGCATGCAATTGACATTGTCAAGCGAGAGACCGCTGGAGCAGATCATCCTCTTCATGAAGCTTTCTTTGGTGGACTTTGGGGTGCTATATTGAAATGGGAGGAACAATCTGCATGGCAAACCTTGCAGCACTTTAGATCGGCTCATCCTGAGGGCAAGAAGTACTCCTCAGAAGAAGCTGCTAGAGAAGCCATGTTCAAGCTGAAGAGGTACAAAGATGCTATATTCAACTTCATTCCACAGGATACCTCCAAAATGAGTGATGATGTGTGGAAGCTCTATGAAGCAACCAAGAAGCTAGACGAAGAAAATAGAGCCAAAGCACTGCTCTGTCAGGAGGGTTACAGACCTTTCTTCAAGAAGGCAATTAGGAATCATCAGTGTGGTGGAGAACAAGCAATCATCAACCTGCTAGAACACATTCAAAAGGGTTGTCTCAGTGATCCTCTTCAGCCAAGAGACATGAGCTACAGGGCAAGTGACAAGCCTCACACTGATGGAGGTCCTCCTTTGCTAAGGCGTCTGCGTGGAACTAACATTGTTGAGGTCAGCAATAGATATGGAGAACAAGATGCCACTGGCCTATCATCAAGGCAGCGCTCCTCACTCACCCATCAGAAGTATTTCTTGCATGTTTCAGAGCACAATCTCAAGTGTGATCACAGAATCTCTCACATCACTGGAATTGCTGCTAGACCTAGAGATTGGTTTGTCAGGGAAGCATTGCAAGGATCTCACCAACTTGACAGCAACCATGTTTGATGATTCCATTCAGTACCCACCTCCACTAGATATGGAAGCCCATATGGAGCCAATTGGTGAGAACTATCAGCTCTATACAGAGTGGCAGAAGATTGATGCTATGATTGCTTCCTTAGTTGGCATTTCCAGTAGCAATACTGCCCCACTTGACCCAATTGAAGATGATCTGTTTGGTGGAATCTCAGATGAGGCTATCTTTGAAACAATTGAGGAGGTTGAAAGATCACAAACAGTGGAGGAGCAGCTTGCTTCTCCATCAATACAGCCACATCAACATATGAATCTCAATGCTACAGCTGGAGCATTTGCGACTGATGGAGTACAGAATGAGCATATGATATCTATTGAGGCATCTCCTTTGCAGATGGCAGCACAACAGTCAACACCATCACCACAGCAGCAGCCCACAGCTGCAGCTGAAAGCTTCTCTGAGCTGCAGACCAACTTCTCTGAACGAATTGCTGAAAGAACACCTCCAAGGTCTCCCAAGAAGGCAAGTCAGGAGAGCTCAGGGTTTGGTGCAACCAGATATGGAACCAGAAAAGCAATGTTCAAAGCAATAACAATCCACAATAGCTACATTGCTGAGCCATTGTCTGCAAGGCAAAGGGCTTTGGTACTGAGAGCATATGAACAAGTGATGGGAAGCACCCCAGATTTTGACAACTTGCCACTTCCAAAGGTGCATGAAAGAGTAGCTACTGTATTCAACTCCTGGCATCTAGAAGCAGTTGGAGCAAGGACCCCAGCTGAAGGCTTTGGTGGAAAGATCAGAGTTGAATCAGTCAAGACATGCTTAGAACAAGCTGCACAACCAATTGTGAGGCAACAGATCCAGGTCCAGGCTGTTGGCATTGCAAGTGGGAGGACAGCACCTATTCCTACATTGAACCAAATCAACAATATGAGCCAGCGGGACCTCAAGAGACATCTCCAAAGGGCTGGAGAGATTGTGAGAGGAACTAAGGAGCAGCAGAGAAAGAGATTGAAGGAGAGATATAACCTATAAATAGCTTAGTGGTGGCACTTCTATGGGTTGCATCTAAACTAGCTTAAACCTCCTCCTTTTCCCCTCCAGAGCCCCCCTTCTGTAACCACTTTGAGGGGTACCTCGACAGGCAGAAAGACAGATAGAAGAAGGGGGATTATGTTCGGATTGCACCCATCTTTCAAGCTAGCCCTGGCGACAACACCCGACTACGTCGTGTGTTGCCGCCCGGTATCATTCATTCCCTCATTGCAACCTTCTTTTTATTAAGCTAGCCCTGGCGACAACACCCGACTACGTCGTGTGTTGCCGCCCGCTACTCTATAATTTACCAGCTGCCATTCCCTTATTGTAACTCTAACCTTTACAACTCCTGCTGGCTTATTGTGCTATTGTAATGATTGCACTAACCTTACATAATAATGATTTATTCCTACCCCTAACTTGTATTGAACCATCAATGTTCAGTTTTGTTGGCTTATGACTATCTCTATCCTTATACTTTGGCTTCACCGGAATAGGAAATAGGAAATAGGAAATAGGAAATAGGAAATAGCATTAAAGGGGTTGAGAACTCAGGCAGTTTACCTGCCGAGGTAATCAGGCACTTCTGTTGTTCATGCACAAAGACTAAGAAGAGGTTATTTTGGGTCAGTTGAATTTGGTGCCATAATTTGGTGCCGGTGCAGTTCTCCTGCACCGTCCTCGCACCGCACTGCACCAAAATTAGGGGCACTTCAACTAGCGTAACTAGAGTAACTGAGGTAACTTGCGTAACTAGCGTAGGGTAACTGACGTAACTGGCGTGCAACTGATGTAACTGGCGTAGAACATTGGAGGACGACTTACGTGGTCGTCATTTCAACTAGCTTTGTATTGTAAACAACTCTACAGAGACAACAGAGCAACGGCAACACTGTTTACAATGAGTTACACTTTATTTCAAGCTTTTGCAGCACTTGAATCACTGCAGTGGCACCTGCCTCCCCCCACCTCTTTTCCAACAGCTGAGCTCTGTGAGATTCGTCCAAGTCAGTCAAACAAGATGATGATCCAAGTCAGTCAAACAAGATTGTATTGCTTCCTTGAATCGAGCTCTAGCTAGAGCAATACAATTAATTTGGTGTTAGCAGAATTTTAATGATTACTCTGTAGTAGATAAAACCTACTTGTAACTCAGTCATTGATAGCTAGCTAGTAGCAATATATCAGCACCACCACCACCACCATCACCAGCATGTAGTATTGGTACCAGTACAGGTACTGTACATGAGTCCTCAGCCAACATGCCATGGAGATTCTTAACAACAAGGCTTTTCAATTCTTACTTTTAATATTTTAACATAAAAGTAAAATTGCATTTTTGTACAGGCTGGTTTCTCTGCGTCCTGGCATAAAAGACACACTTGGTACATTTGCATTAAGTCTTTGAGTCTCTCACTGGTTAAATTTTGGCTACTTATTAAATACCGAAGAAGACTAGGTTCTTCTAAGGCCTTAACAACTTCAACTGACGTGGAAGGTGCCATTCTCCTGAAGGAGCACTGCACCAGGGAAATGGCACCAAATTCACGCGACTCGTTATTTTGGGTTAGAGAGGACTGCATTTGGGTGGGAAAGAGCGAACTTCTTTAACGTATCTATCTCTTCATGCAGACCCGTATCTCAATTGCCCTTGTGAAAGCTACCTATTTATGTCTCCGTGGATCTCGCAAAGCCAAACCCTTTGCCCCCGTAACGGTCCTCACTTTCTTGCCCCTGATCCCACAAAACCTAGTCCTGAATTTCGACTGTTCTTTGCTTAAGCCTGGCCCCGGCTGGCTTCCGTATATAATTACCCTACTCTAAACCCCTTAACAAATCTATTTAGTATTTATTTATTTAAGTCAGCGGGAGCTGCGATACCTCGGCAGAAAGACAGATAGAAGAAGGAGGATCATGTTCGAGATTGCACCCATCTTTCAAGCCAGCCCTGGCAACAACACCCGACTACGTCGTGCGTTGCCGCCCGGTATGATTCATTCCCTCATTGCAACCTTCTTTTTATTAAGCTAGCCCTGGCGACAACACCCGACTACGTCGTGTGTTGCCGCCCGCTACTCTATAATTTACCAGCTGCCATTCCCTTATCGTAACTCTAACCTTTACAGCTCCTGCTGGTTTATTGTGCTGTTGTGCTGATTGCACTAACCTTAAATATTAATGATTTATTCCTACCCCTAACTTGTATTGAACCATCAATGTTCAGTTTTGTTGGCTTATAACTATCTCTATCCTTATACTTTGGCTTCACAGGAATAGGAAATAGGAAATAGCATTAAGGAGGTACCACCCAGTCTGGCATTCAGTCATTAGTAACCCGGAAATCTCTCGTGTTATTTTTCCTTTTATCGAGCGTTTTGTATCAACCGACCATGATCCAAAGCAGTTATATGGCTGCCGCTGCCGTTCGTTGCACCGATCACGTAGAGACCCGTGCAGTGGTTCTATGCGTAGGCAATAGGCACTGCTGTTAACTTCCCCCCTGCTGGATAGTAGCTGATGCCTTGTACCTTCTCAGAACAGTGGTAGCCAGTGTTAGCGATCGCAATAGAGGTTGTTATCTTGGCAGCATGTCGCTTACCGACGCATTGAAAAACTCTGGTATTGTAGTTGGGGAGTGGAATAGATTGACGAGATGATGGAAAAACACAAAAACAAATGCTACGGCCTGTTGCCCCTTGTTGTTCTGCATGAGGCTGCAACATTTGTTTGGTGATTTTACCATGTTCCTGTCAAGAACAAGCACTCCCCAAGTGTTGTGTGGGGTGAAATGGTCCTTTTCGTCAAAATGTGAGCTCAAAATGTGAGGCTTAGTTTTAAACTAGATGGCCCGCTCCCCAGTCACAGAATGTCTTTCGAGTTTTGGATTTAGCCGTTGCATCCAAAGTAAATCGCATCAACATGTTTTGGGCATGTTTATCAGTTTCGTGGCCATGTTGATGAATCCTGTTGGTTCCGCGAAACCAATCAGCGACCATATTGAATGCCACCGTCTCCTCTCACAAGACATCCGATTGAAATTTCAAGTTCCGAGTTAACATGGGATCGATATTTGGGGACCATGTTGATTGCTTGAGAGAGAGCGAACAGACGGCGTCGCAACGGCAGAAAATCTGAATCAGCCCATCCGAGGCTTCAGTTCAGTTCAGAGCAGTCGGATGCCATCTCATTATTTTGACCATCGACACTTTACAGGGAAGTTCTGTCTAAATCCGCTGCTCTTCCGCTCAATCAATCAACCATGGCCATGACGATCCGCCGTTCGCTTGCTTGCTTGCTTCGTCCTTCGCTTGGGACCATGTGGGAGCTGACGTCGGAAGATCCAAGATCCTTTGTTGCTCTCCTGCTCCAAGATCCTTTGTTGCTCTCCTGCTCATTATCTTTCCATCGAAAGCGAAGCTCTGCTGAAATCAAATCCATCCTTTGATTGACCGACCATGGCCCTCTGCCGTTCAGTCATTGGGATTCTTCTACCGTTACTTCGCTCCGTCATCTTACAAGGATCCATCGTCCGATCCTTCTGATCCTCGTTGGTCTTCCGATCCATGCTGGGTCAAGCTTCCATCGGATTCCTTCGTCAAGCTTCCATCTGATTCCTTCGCTCAATTTTCCACCATGGGCAAGAACAAGCGCAAGAAGGGCGGCAAGGGCTTCTACCAAACCAAGAACAAGAAGCACCGATCCAAGGATGAAAGGGCTGTGTGGGCCCGACAACAGCAGCAGCTACAGGAAGCCGCCTTGCAGACTCCCCATGCAGTCACTCCTCATGTCAACACTGGTCCCTTCCACAATGAAGATATTGATGATGGGCTGCCTCCTCCTGTTGCCTCCCTTCGCTCTGCTGCTCGCAAGCCAACACCCACGGAGCAACTGGATGATGAACGACTGAATGAACTCTTGGGTCCCCCTTCTGATGATGAGCATGATCCTCCTTCTGACGATGATGATGCTGCAGCAGCAGACCTTCGTCTCACTCCTGAAGAGATGGAATCTTTCCTGAGTCAGCAATCCTTTCTTCACCATGACCGTTCAGAGCGGATTGCAACTTACCACCTCTATTGCCGGGTGCACAACTTCCCTTCGGATTGGACTGGAAAGGGCAGTACTGGATTGGCAATCAAGGACGCTCTTGGGATGAAGACGCGGAAGCCAATCAAGAATATCTTCGAGACATCAATTACTGTGCCAAGACGCCTTTGAGTATAGTTGCGTCAGCGATTCTACTTCACGGTTCAAGCCCGTCAAAATTCCTGATGGCTCCAAAGCTGCTGAGACTATCGCTACTTTGATTTAGTCACGAGGAGACAGTCTCCGAATTGCAACCGACACACTCAATGAATGTCGAATTGATGATGGTGTG